ACTCTTTAATTGCGTCTTTCGTAATTTCGGTATCTCTGAGGATATAGTATCTGATAAAGTTCCTCAGTTTATCTAACAAGTGTGGAAGTCTTTCTTCTTGCTCCTAGGTGTGACCGTGAGCCTATCTTCTGGATACCACCCACAGGGCAATGGACAAACCGAGAAAAAAACAGGAGATAGGTCGCTAGCTCTGTACCTTCTGCCATAACCACCAGAACTCCTGGAACCGTTTCCTTGTCTGCGCCGAGTATGCACAGAATTCCCTCCATCAGCCATCTACGGATATCACTCCGTTCCAGTGTGTACTCAGCTATCAACCGCCCTTGTTCCCCTTATCAGGGGAATCTTCGGAAGTACCATCAGTCTGGGACTCAGTTCACCAACATCTCCAGTTAGCAGTTCGACGCCATCAACATCATGCAGATGCCCGGAGAGCCCCTACTCCCACGTTCCATCCAGGACAAAAGGTATGGCTCTCCACTCAGGACATCTGTCTATGGCTGCCCTGCAAGAAGCTGAGTCCCAGATTCATTGGACCCTTCCCTATCATCCGTCAAGTCAATCAGGTCACATACGAACTCAAGCTCCCTCCACAGTACAGGATTCACCCCACATTCCATGTCTCACTACTCACCCTACTTATCTGAAACAGTTCATTGGAACCATCTCCTGGAAAACCTCTTCATCAATCCATTCACTCTCTATCTACATTCACTGCATCAAAGACTCTATATTTGCCATTACTCACCTGCCATTGTTGCTCATTTCAATCTGTACAATAAACCCACCTGTTTGGTTCTAACTTGTCTGTGTCTGGAGTTTGATTTCCTTTTTGCAAAGTTAGTGTTAAGCATTGATTATTTTTACTTTACATTTTTACTTTACATTCGACTACAGGTATAATAGTCGAATAAACCAACATTGTGGGCACAAAGACGCAAGAGAAATAAGGCCTGCTGGATGAGCAAGATAACTCCTCATGAAGATCAGGGAAAAAGGGGAGGGACTGACATTTAGGTTCCTCCCCTTGGCCACCCGACAGGAATTTGTCATCAAGCTTGGAGCGCCTGGGGTTCTCCTGCTCCTGTGGCCAGTCTAACTTAAGCCTGGGCACTGTGTGAGTAACCACCTCGAGTAGCTTCCCAAATGATTTATCATCACGTGAGGAGCGCTCAGAGACGGCACTCTCGATATCCATATCGCCAGAGGCAAAATAAACTGCGTCCTCTGCCCACTCTGAAGAAGCTCCAGGGCGCGCTTCAGCAGCAGATGTGAGAATGCTGCGCTCTGGCGAGAGCACAAGAGAAGGGAACGCGCCCACCTCTCATATCTCCGCCAGCTCAACACGTGAGCCCCATGATCGTAATGAGGACGCAGAGGCTTGCCCCTCCTGAAAGAAGGTGAGCCTTGAGCGGTGCAATACTCACACCCCACGTCCTCAAAATAGCGTGCTCTTCTCCTAGGCAATTAAAACAGAAATCATGCTGGTTATAATCAGAAATGAGCGGCAAGCATTTCTTGACAGCCTCACTAGACATGATTTCTCTTAATATATATACATTTTTTGCTTCACAGCACAACTCCTCAATCCTTCTACACAAACACACAATGTAGTCTCTGATGACAAAGAAACCTGAAGGTGTGTCAGTTTCACATCTATTTTTAGCCCCTCAGGTGCACGTAATCCAATGACGTCACCCACCGAGGTTATTTAAGCCAGTTCTTGGCGTGTTTGACATACGTGCTTCACAACAGGTCGAGCAAGGAATGTTCTCATATGCATTATGGAAAGGCAGCATCGAAAGTAACTTTTGATAGGGAACTGCATATGGCCAACAGTGTAATAACAGTGTAAACAGTGTTAAGTGGAACCATTTTAAGAAATGCTGCAGGTCCAGGCAAACAAACCAGTCAAAGTGACGCCACAGCAAAACCATTTACAATATGGAATCACACCAGACAAACAGTGATGAAAGTGAGTCACTTTTCATTGATGGTGTAACTGCGGCATATGTTGATTCCATTGCTAACCTGGCACAAAAGAGTGAACTGTACAGCACTGTACACGTACAGGGTATCCCTGTGGAACTGAAAGTGGACACTGGAGCAAAGTGCAATATGATGGCGTTAGACACTTTTTATTGGAACCTTCACCTCTACCCACTAGAGAGATCCATGCATTTTGGAACCTTCACCTCTACCCACCAGGGAGATCCATGCACAGCTCACTAAGAAAAGATTGTGTCTGAAGCACAGTTATGACAAAACTAGTAAACCACTGAGCACTCTCTTCACAGGGCAAGTTGTGAGGATGCAATCCCTTCAAGGGTATGATAGCAAAGGAATGGTGAAGGAAGTCTGCCCGGGTACCAAGGTCTTACATCGTCTTGTCTGGAGGAAACCTGTCTGTGAAAGATCCTTTGCTAAATCAGCATGATGATGCTGATCACCAATCCATATCCCAAACAAAGTAACTTATTATCATGGTTCCCCATTCCTAGTCCAGGAGAGTCACTTTCCCACAGACTTTTGTTTGATCTCTACTTAAATGCACCTGAATCAACTAGTCAAGGACTTTGTGTTTACTTGTCAGTAGTATCGAAACTGAACTCATGAATGTGAACTCTACAGGAGCAGGAATGATGTACCTGCTTTACAGACTCATAGACACACCTCTTTTACACACGTCACTCAAACACAGAACCAGAAAACAGGAATCACTTACATTCAGGGAGAGAGAAACTGAAGTGTAGTTGAGCTGTTGTGTGTTGTCTCTCTGTATTAATGCAGTAAAATGGCAGAAGCCAGATTTTCTCAGGATGAGCTCATGTGTACAGTGTGTCTGGATCTCCTGAAGGATCCAGTGACCATCCAGTGTGGACACAGTTACTGTAAGAGCTGTATTACAGACTGCTGGGATCAGGAGGATGAGAAGAGGGTCTACAGCTGCCCTCAGTGCAGACAGACCTTCAGTCCAAGACCTGCTTTAGGGAAAAACACCATTCTGGCTGAACTGGTGGAGAAACTAGAGACGATTACACTTTCTGCTGACTGTTACGCTGGAGCTGGAGATGTGCAGTGTGACGTCTGTACTGGAAGAAAATACAAAGCCGTCAAGTCCTGTCTGGTGTGTCAGGAATCTTACTGTCAAACTCATTTTGACCGTCATGAGGAGTTTCATTCACGTAAGCCACACAAAGTGATCAATGCCACTGGACGACTGCAGGAGATGATCTGCCAGAAACATGAGAAGCTTCTTGAGGTTTTCTGTTGCACTGACCAGAAATGTATATGTATGCTATGTTTGATTGATGAACATAAAAACCACAGCACTGTATCAGCTGCAGCACAGAGGACAGAGAAACGGGTATTTAAATCTTGACTTGCTTTTCAAGTAACTAGTATAACACATTACTTTTAAATTTACAACAAAATATCTGAGTTCAAATAAATAATGCAAATTCCTTTGTTTTCCCATTTATTGACGGATAACTCTCTTTTGGGGTTTTTGTTATTATAAAATAAATAAGTAAGCCCAGCCCAGGTGACAAAAAGTAACACAAAAGTTAAGTAATGCACTACTTTCCATAAAAGTAACTAAGTAACACAATTACTTTATATAAAATGCAATTAATTACTTATTTATGGAGTAATGCAATATTGTAATGCATTACTTTTAAATTCAGTTTAAATTACACTTAAGTTAAGTACAAACCCCCAAAAACAATATTTAATTTCAGTAACGTTAGTGAAATAAAATAAAATAACTCTTTACACCTATGCATAAAACGATTGCAAGACATTTCATGGTACATGACCCGTTTCTGCTCACCTGCTCCCTGGTTGTCTGTTTAATAGCATTGACCCTAAATAACATGTGAATATAATGTTGGCTACTTCAGAAAACAGAAAATAAGCACATCTAAAAAAATCTCTTACTTACCTTTATGAAAATGTCGAGGGTAAACGAACATAACCGGAGATATGTTGGCAAATATGATGATTTTGCATATCACCGCTGCAACCCAGGCCATCTGACGCGGCAACGCCTCTTGTTGTTTAGTCTTTTTTTTTCAAGTGTGAGACCTAAAATATCTTTCTTCGTGGTGAGTTTTTGACCTTTTCTATCATGTAATTCACTATTGCAGACTTTAACACAACAAGAACGTACCATTTTAAATCAAATGAAAAAGACAATTCTCCAACTACAGAACACCTCGGCTTTCATACCTTACAAATGGCGGCGATACCTAAAATGCACTTCGATTATCGTGAGTGTGACGTCACCTGACAAAAACCGATTGTCAAGTGCCAAGCATCCGCGCTGTGATTAATATATATATAAATTCATATAAAAATGTTGTAACTTCTGGATAATGATTTCATGAATTTTCACTGCTTAACTCCATTAATGAGAGAGTCATACTTAATTTAAATGTGTATATCAAATGTAAAACAGACTTTCAAATCAGCCTGTTTACTATATTATTTCGCTCACTCCAGTAAAAGAGTGCTTACATCAGGTCCCTGGTGTGGCTGTATAGGAACAGGAATGAGAAACTTGCTTTACAGATTTGCAGACACACCCGTTTTACACACATCACTCCAACACAGCAGCAGGAAACAGGAATCACATGATTCCAGGGAAAGATAAACTGAAGTGCAGTTAAGCTGTTGTGTGTTTGTGTCTCTGTATTCATTCTGTAAAATGGCAGAAGCCAGAGTTTCTCAGGATGAGTTCACCTGTCCAGTGTGTCTGGATCTCCTGAAGGATCCAGTGACCATCCAGTGTGGACACAGTTACTGTAAGAGCTGTATTAAAAACTGCTGGGATCACAAGAGAGTCTACAGCTGCCCTCAGTGCAGACAGACCTTCAGTCCAAGACCTGCTTTAGGGAAAAACACCATTCTGGCTGAACTGGTGGAGAAACTAGAGACGATTACACTTTCTGCTGACTGTTACGCTGGAGCTGGAGATGTGCAGTGTGACGTCTGTACTGGAAGAAAATACAAAGCCGTCAAGTCCTGTCTGGTGTGTCAGGAATCTTACTGTCAAACTCATTTTGACCGTCATGAGGAGTTTCATTCACGTAAGCCACACAAAGTGATCGATGCCACTGGACGACTGCAGGAGATGATCTGCCAGAAACATGAGAAGCTCCTTGAGGTTTTCTGTTGCACTGACCAGAAATGTATATGTATGCTATGTTTGATTGATGAACATAAAAACCACAACACTGTATCAGCTGCAGCACAGAGGACAGAGAAACAGGTATTTAAATCTTGACTCTGATGAAATATTGCTAACAATTTAAATTTTCATATGTGCCCATCTTATATGTGCTTATATTCAGTGCTGGTGTAACGCATTACAAGTAATGTGAATTACGTATGCAGATTGCTTTTCAAGTAACTAGTATAACACATTACTTTTAAATTTACAACAAAATATCTGAGTTCAAATAAGTAATGCAAATTCCTTTGTTTTCCCATTTATTGACGGATAACGCTCTTTTGGGGTTTTTGTTATTATAAAATAAATAAGTAAGCCCAGCCCAGGTGACAAAAAGTAACACAAAAGTTAAGTAATGCACTACTTTCCATAAAAGTAACCAAGTAACACAATTACTTTATATAAAATGCAATTAATTACTTATTTATGGAGTAATGCAATATTGTAATGCATTACTTTTAAAAGTAAATTTCCCCAAAACTGTTTATATTGGTGCCCATATTAACAGGTTATAGCATTCAGCAGAAATGAACAGCAGCTATTAGAAGAGTTTCACTTTTTGGTGAAAATGCACTGTAAACCTTTATCAACACAATCTTTTGT